GTGTTCCGTGACGCCACTCTAATTTATGAAAAATGTCGTTTGATTATATTTTTTTGCGAAGTGGCACGTTTTAGCGTGAAGGTTATCGAGATAAACAACAACACTGTAGCGAATTTATTTTCCATTTTTCGGGTAAATTTGCAAATCAGCGTCCGATTTCAAATATACATTTTTCTTCAAGGATATTGGAAAAAATTCAGAGTGAGAAGAGGACGATGTTCGATTAGCATCGCGCTTACGAAATCCTCGCGGTTTCTGTTTGCATTTGCAAAAAGTGCCACGGTCGACGAAAAAAGTTGGATCGATTGCCGTAGAGCGAGAAACAACTAGCTTTAATTTAAGTGATTAAACGTCCGGCATCCGGACACAGTCTTAACAGCTTCGCAGCACCGTTCGTAAAGAGATCGAAGGTTGAAGGCAGACAATCCTCTTGGCCCAAGTACATAGAGATAGTGCACCTGGTCGGCTGCGAGAGCTTTAACGGGCGGCACAATAGATATAGTGACCGGTTTTCTTCTAAAGAAGAGAGACGATCGATCACTGGCGCTGCTTAATATATTAAAGATTTTCCATAGCCAGTTGGTAACGAAACCGAGTCATCATTACCTTCGAAAAACATATTTATGGCTTTTTGATGTTCTTCTTGAAATGTCTCTATCCCAAAAGTGGCACAAACTTGCCTTAAAACCTCGTCGTAGATCACTGTTGTTTGAAAGGTTGACCATGAATGCATTTTTTTCACCGTCCGGTTCGTTAGTTTGAAAATAAATTACCAACTCTGGCCAATCAGAACTGACGAAAGAATTGGCAAAAGGGGTTGATCAATAAAAAGCCATTATACATTTTCTTGCAAAAGAGTGACGTCACAGAAAACGATTCGACATTTCCTCGCCTCCGTTTCACCTTGTAGGGAGGGGAGGTTACGGCTACACGTAGGCTACACTCTTAGTCCCCACGGTATCATCGAGCACTTTTCATACCACTAAATTATTCTTGTTTTCTCGTCACCATATTCCCACCAATAGTATAGCTCCATTTTCTGCATATAAACCCACACACAACCCACAATTCCTCCAATCGTTCTGACGAAGGGCTAACTCTTTACGGTGGCCAGTTTACGTTATCATCTCAGTTGAAAATACTAAATTACCCAGTCATAACTATATCAGCTTGGATTCGCATAAAGGTGAGGATTCTATTAGGGTTATTCTGATGACGTTACCGGTTTGGTGATTGCTACTCGTTCCAGAAAACTGTGAGACGCAAGTTCGTGGTGCGTGCGGATAAATTTGGTAAAGAATCGAAGTACTAAACGTACTTAACATTTTCAGCCAACATGCTAAATTCCCTTGTTTACTGTTTTTAAATTGATCGCCAATTCTGTTTTAATTTTTTGGAAAGCTTGATAATATCAAGCTTCCTTTCCACAGGTTTCGGTTTGGTTTGCTAAGTTACCTGAGACACAAAGCTGTTTATTTTCTCAAGTCGCGTTTCGCATCTCTAATTT